TCCATTTTTGTTTAAGTTTGGGTGGCTGGAAAATTTTGTGCATGATAAGAAAAATGATGATCATGTGTTTTTATTTTATAATCTATTAAGTTTTGTCATAAGAGTATGATTCTCCCTAATTTTTCTTGAAAGAAAATTCCAAATGCACATGCCTAAACACTTTCATGATCAAAATATGATATGCATGCTATATGTTTGTTGAAATGGCCATGGGATTTAGAGTGCTTTAGAGAGTCAATCATGCATGCTAATTAGTCCTAGCATGTTCCTTGATATTTAACCATTCATGTGTGATTTGTATCTTTTCACATATTGCTAAATTCGGCCATCTTTCTTTCCTTTTCCATTTGCACTTAATATGAACATGCTATGCTTGATAAATTGAGTTTGAAAAATGATTATATGTGCTTATTTTACTGCTGGCAAAATACACGACGTAAAACACCCTTTGTGTACTAGTGAATAATATATATACTTGTCAATAAAAATTATTTTTATCTATAATTATATTCTCATAATTGTTAAAAAGTGTAGATGTAGGTTATGTGGGTATATACATCAAACAAATTTTTAACTGCATATATTATATTGATAATGATACTTTTTATATATCACTATATATATGTAATATTTTTTTGTAATGATCATAATTAATAATAAAAACTTATTTTAATGATTATGTTATTATTCATTTATCTATTTTTATTTCTTTGATCCATTTAATTATTCATTTCCAATTATTGTGAAGCAACTTTTATCTATAAAAACTCATACAACTATTCTTTCTTAACAAACTAGCAAAAAAAAAATTTTGTTTAATTTGCGAGTTGACTTTTGTTAAAAATGCAACGGCTAATAATCTCTTTTATCTTTCTTCACTTTTTTGTATCTCCCACTTTGTGTATCCAAAGCAATGTTCTAACCCAGATGACATATGTCAATGTGATGGACCAAGGAGCTCGTGGCGATGGCACAACTGATGATTCAAATGTACATGGCTTTCTACTTTGTTACTTTTTTTTAATTTATTTATGGGGAGGTTTATATGTAATTCAAGTATGCATTAATTAAGTAGTATCTATATTCTAACAAAATATATTCTAATTGATTCTAGGCAATTTTAAGTGCATGGCAGAGTGTGTGTGGAATGTCAGGGCCAACAACTTTACTCATACCTTCAGGAAAAGTATTTTTTGTGAAAAGATTAGGGTTCAATGGTCCTTGCAAGGCACAAAGTGTTGGCATTCAGGTATAGCTAGCAAACCAATTTTCGATCAAACTTCAATTATTTCTTGGCGGATATATGTGTATATTTCAAGTTAAGACTTAAATATGTGTCTATTTCTTGGAAAAAATTGTAAATTTTAATTTTTGTTTTACAATAATTTTTTTTGTTTTTATTCTTCTAAAAATATAAAACTATTATTTTTTTTCTATGCTATTATGCGATTCTTTTTAAGAATTTATGTGATTATGTTTAGTGATTATTTTAAGTAATACCCATTAATGATTATGAACTATAGCATGTGGCACTTCTAAATTTTTTCATATAACTTTGAAATAAATGTTATTTATTTATTTATCATAATGTGATTATTAGGGACTAAAATCATAACACATTCATATTACAATAATTAAAAACATATTTAAGTCTAAAGTAAATTAGTCAAAGCGAGAATAATACATAATTTGATATGCTTTACCATACAAATGCACAATACTTTTTTTTCTTCAAAAATAATAGTAGTTATTTTTATTTTTGTTTTGCTTTAATTTGTTGCAGTTAGCAGGGAAAATAGTTGCTCCAACTATAGATGCATGGGTTGGTGATAAGGGAAGTTGGATTGTGATCTCAAATGTAAATGGATTAACAATTGATGGGCAAGGAGGAATTATCGATGGCAATGGTTCTTCTTGGTGGGAGAACTGCAAAACTTGTCAACGACCAACAGTATGATATTATATATATATATATATATGCTTGTAAATATTTTATTAAGTAATGAGTTATGATGTATATATATAAATTTTAAATCATTACTATTTAAATATTTATTAATTTAATAATTAATTATTTTGGTGTGACAATGTAATGCAGTCATTGCGTTTCCAAAATTGTAATGGTCTTGTTGTGAATTCTCTAAGCATGACAAATAGTGCTCAAGCTCACATATCCGTAAGTAGTTGTGTTGGAGCAAAATTCTCTCAAATGAATATTACTGCTCCTGAGAACAGTCCCAACACTGATGGCTTTGATATTGCTGGGTCCAAATTCATAACCATACAAGATTCTACTATAGCAACTGGTAAACTAAACTAATACACAATTTTTAATTTAGTATCGTAAACTAATTATTACATGTGTTACTTTAATTTACCTTTTTATCTTTCAAAACAGGTGATGATTGCATTGCCATCAACGGTGGCAGCTCCAACATCAATGCCACTAGGCTTTTCTGTGGACCTGGCCATGGGATAAGGTTTATATAATTTTTATATATCCTAGTTTCTCTAATATTATATTTTAATTTATTTATGAAAGCATGATATATTCAACTTAATTTTCTTCTTATTTTTGACAATTCTTATGTTTATTCTTATTATTTTTGACAATTGTTATGCATCAAACATGTATGAATCAATCAGTGTTGGCAGTCTGGGTAGAAATGGAGCTCATGAGACAGTTGAAGAGGTTTATGTATATAATTGCAGTTTCACTGGAACTACAAATGGAGCAAGAATTAAAACAGTGCCAGTGAGTAATTAATAAATTATATACGGATGGATTAGTAGCTATTATTTTCTTTAATTAGTTGATTTTGTCTTTTGAATAAATAAAAATAAGATATATTTGATTGAATGTTAAATATATCTTTTTACCACATTTTTATATAATTATTGACTTTTATAATAATTATCTTGTAAGTTATATACCATAAATTAAAAATTTATTAAATTGGATTTAAAATCACATTATTTAGCCCTTTAATAACGAAGAGTATTTTAATTGTGATTTTTTTATTATTTAATCATGTTTCATTTATTATTTGGAATATGTCATTACATTTTCTCGATCAATTATTTTTCCATTTGTTTCACTAATTATGTGTTTCTTTTTATATTGTCCAATTTTATACAGGGTGGATCAGGTTATGCAAGAAAAATCACTTTCGACCAAATCATATTAAACAATGCTCAAAATCCAATAATTATAGACCAAAATTATAACGCTATAGCGCCAAATGCAGTGGTAAAAACTTGAATATATGTATATTCATATTATTTATTTTGATTTTAAGTTGCCTATTATTTATTGCTTACTTCAATTATGTTTTGAATTTGAGCAAAATAGGGGCAAACAGTGATGGTTAGTGAAGTGACTTATCGTGGATTTGTTGGAACTTCGGCTAAGGACTTGGCAATACTCTTGAAATGTAGCACATTGGGTTGTTTCAATATTACATTTGATAATGTTGACATTGTATCCTCAGAACCAGGAAAACCAGCCTATGCATCTGTAAATAATGCCCATGGAACAGTTACTAATACTGTTCCAAAATTCTCTTTGTTGTCATGAATTCAATCAAAAAGATATGTTTTGAATAAAAATCTGTTAGTTTTTTATTATCTACACATCTAATGAAGGATATATCATTTGCTTTTAATCTTTCCTTAATTTTTAGGATTTATAAGTTTATACACTAAAAAAAACTGGTGATTAGCGTTTCTTTAATCTGGCGATTTGAATAATTAATAAAAAAAACGTTATATTTTTTTAATAAATGTATAAACCATCAGAAATGTGTGTACATTTTTTGGTGATTTAAAACCTTCATAATGTTTTAAATTTTTTATTTTTTTATTTTTTGGCTTTACCCAAGTTCTATCCTACTTGTTAATGAGGTGACCAAAGTTAACATTCCCAGTCTTTTAACATATCACTAATAAGCGCCACATATACGGTCGCCAAAAATCATTTGTAATGATATTTTGTAAATGCTGGAATCTCTTTGTGGCGGGTTGAAACCGCCCCAAAATGCATTTTAATTTTATTTTTTGTTTAATTTTTTCATTGTCTAGCTGTTTAAAACTACCACAAAATTAACTTTAATTTTGTCTCATTCAGCGGTTTTGGGAGTTTTAAACCGCCACAAATTGCGTTATGTTCAAAACATGAATAATGCATTGTTGAAGGAAGAAACAGTAGCAACAAATGAGGCAGGTCAATCTTTAAGTACCAAAACATTGAACTTCGATCTCAATGAGCCCTATGTTATGGAGGATTAAGTAGTTTGTGTAGTTCTCCATTTTGCTATATTAGATATGTTGTGTTAATCTTGCAGTTTTATTATTATTTTACTTCAACAGAATTTGATCTTTGTGTGTGAGAGAGATTCTACAATAATATTTCAATGCACTAAAAATAATGAGAAATGGTTGAGTTAAAAAATGAAGAAATTTCATATTCTACGTTGTGAAAAGTGTAATTTAATAATTCCAAAAAATGTGACAACAAAGCACAGATTCACAAATTCCCAATTTACCTCATCCATTACTAACTTTCCATATTCACCAATTATATTCATTAATCTGTGATCATCTACCGTACAATCTCGAATTTCTCGAATAGGGACATCACCAACATCAATTAGCACTCGTGCATATCTTGTAATTCTTTGCCTACATAATCAAAATTGTGCTATTATAAGCTATTAAGCTACTTATTATCATAATTTACAAGTAATTGAAGGCCTAAAACAATTGCTTCCATGAACATGGTAGATTCACAGACAAAGAATAACTAGATATAAGGAATCATGCATCATTATAGAAGTCCATGCTATCCTCATAATATAACCAAAAGAGAAAGGAAAAAGTATTAAATTGCTTTCATGTTCTTCATTTATAAAGCAATAACAGTTTTATATAAATGCTAACAACATGGAAGTTTCGCAACAACATAAAATCCCAATATTTTAAGAACTAGAAATAATATCCATAATTTCAAGGTTTCAATTAGGTAAGAGTTTTGCATTCTTGAACCTTCTACTAACAAAATTCGATGCAAAAAATCAATTATCATTTGCAGATGAGTTTACAAAGCAAATTTTAAGTTGCGCTAAAACTAATGACACTTTCCAAGATTTCTACTTTCCAAAGGAAAACCATATGACTACCTTCTTCAGTAGTTGAGTTTGTACTATCACGCCAAATGGCCTCGCTAATGCGAGGCAGGGCAAATGTAGGACCTTGAAGGAAAGATAAATTATGTCCCAAAGGAACTCCAGGAAGAGTTGAAGTTGCTTTAGCACCTCCCAAAGCACGCACAAGTTCTCCCTAGAGAAAAATAGCTTATGCATTTATATTCTTTCATGCAAATCTTATAATCAAAATCACCAAAATAAAATATTAAATTATGGGTCACAAAACTAAATAAACACAAATATGGAATGCCTTAATCTTTGCTCTTTCTCAAATAAGAGTAAGTGAAGCATCTATGACACGACTTTGGCCTTTCTCTAGTAAAGTAGCAAATACTTCTGCAGCATTTAGACTTGGCATTGAATGGATGCCTCTGCGTGCTATAATTGACATTTTTGTACCAAAAGAACAAAACAATTAATTAATTAATTAACATATTTAGAGGCCAAAGAAATTTTGTCAATTTTACTCCTATTAGATGAAACAAAGTAAAATTAAGCATGGTCACATTCATGTAATTAAAAGTGAAAAACAAAAAAACATTTTCTGAAACCGAATAGCCCCTAACCTCTCATCCTAAAACACAAATGACAAAACCCAGCAAACACAGCCATGTGACTCAACTTCTAGCATACATTAAGCAATTGCTTCAACCTCGATTTTGAAACACTAATCAAAATGCCTTTCTTCTTTTTTTGTATTATTAAAATCAAAGTACAAACAAATAGATAACTAGATTAACTGCACCTTTACTTCCTTTTTTTTTCTCTAATCAGAAAATAGCATAAAAAATATCATAAACAATCATTGATGTTACCATTGAAACTGCTTTAAGTTCGCCTACTCTAAGAAAAAATTTGTTTACCAGAAACAATTTACTGAAGCTTGTGATTGACAAAGTTCTACTGCTATTGTAATATTATAATGCCCTGTTTGTTATTACTGATTCCAGTAAATTGTCTTAAAGTTGTTTTTTATCATAAATTCCTTATGAATACTTTAAGTAAACTATCGTACTCTGATCTTTTTTACATTTGTCCAAAAAATAAAAACTACAGTTAAGAATGATTGAAAACATCCAAAACCCAGTTCATATCCTGTATTAGTCCAGATCTTCATTTTTTTACAAGCCTCTATCTTCTTAATTAACAACAACATCTCTTACTTTTTATTCGCTTCCTATCTTTTTTCTTTCTTGAAGTGTTATATATTTTCCTATTAGTATGAGTTTTCGAGTAGGTTCTTATTGTCTCAATAGAAATTACAATGACATTATACTTGCTGGTTTTGTTTAAGGACAAAAATGTGAGTGATATACTGCAGCTAGTGTGAGTTTGATTACCTATGAAATTAGAAAGAGTGACTGCTGCAACAATTAAAGCAATTAATTTGATTTGTGCTGAACTAGGATTAAGAGATTACTTAGGAGTTGTTTGGTGTGAACAGAGTTGTCTGCTCCAACATAAGCATGAAAATATTAGCGAGACAAAAATGGACAAGGATTTTGCACATGATAAAAGGCCTTTTGGTAAGCCTGTCACATATAACGAGCCTGCTAATATTGCTAGGCCAGAAAATGTTAAAACTGAGAAAGAAACTAGACAAGATAAGCAAGAAAATGTGACCCAAGCATCTGAACATATCAGCAATGGAACATATCAGCAAATCTTTTCGATTGAGGTTCTCCCTCTCTTAAAAAAACCATAGATTTAATTCAACGGATTAATGAGATGAAAAACATCATGAACAAGCCAATTTCAAATCAGAACATCAAAAACAAATAACACTCGTAATTTCAAAAGGAAAATAACACTATAATTTCAAATCAAAACGTTAAAAAACAAATAATGAACATTCGTATTCCCTCACCTCAAATTTGTAATCTCTGAAAAATTTGTTCCACCTAAAATCTATGAACAAAAAAATCATAATAAAATATTATACAAATCAAAAATAGGTAATCAAAATGGATATGAATCCAAAACTTGCCTTAAATGAAAGCAACCGATTGAAGAACAACGTAGAGAAGAGCAAGCTTAAAGAAGCTCTTGCAAAATCACTAACCCTAAATTGGAAACTTTGTAAAATGGTTTCACCGTAAATTGCTTCACGAACGATTATGTTGAGGGGGAAGAAGAAGAAGTTTGAGCGTGATAGATTTTCGCAAGTAAAGTTTCCGCGGAGCATTCCAAGTTAGGTTTTTTTAATTTTAAATTTAAGTTCTTTAATTCTTTTTTTTTTTTACTCTCTAAATTCTTTTAAACAAAAATATAAATATGCTTTAATTAAGTTGTCCACGTGGTCACACAAAGAGTTGATAAATGGATAATTAGATACTTATACATTGTGGCCGTTTAAAACTGCCAAAACTTTAATTATTTTGTGGGGTAAAGATAATTCCTAGAATTACAACATTTTTTGGTGGTTTATTAAAACCGCTAGACATAAATTGCCACTAATTAACTAATTTTTTGTAGCATATTTTTCATATCTAATTAAAAAAATAAAGTGTCTTATATAATTGATTAACTTTTGTCTTAAAACACTTATATATTTATATATACAGTTACATTTCTTATCTAATTCCATTACAGGAATCATTTTATTTTCCGGTGGATTTTTTTTGGCAAAAATATATAATACAGATTATTTTACAAAATTAAATCTGCGCAAAATTTCTGAGAAATTTGCTAAAAAAAAACATGTACAATGTTTTTATTTGCTATATTTGATGTGAAAATATTGTCTATAATATAATTTTGTGCAGATAAAACCCGTAGAAACTGTCATAGGATTTCTTTTTATTTTTTGAAAATTTTCTTTGAATATAATTTTGGAAGTGATATTCAATAATATTTTAATACCAGCGTTTATAAAAAAAAATGCCACAAACTTTTTTCGGCATACGTGAATTTGACAGTTATTTTAGCCATCAAGAATGAAATTTGTAAGGAATTTTAGCCACTAATAATTATAATTTTAACTGTCACAAACTACAATATCTTTTATAGCGATAATCTCATGCTTTCCATTATTAGGGACTTAATAATTTACTATAACCATTTTCCTTTAACACATTCCATTAAATGCTTTCGATTAATTAAAACAGTACGTGTATATTAGATAATTTTTATACTATAAAATAAGTAATTTAAGATTATTAAAAATATCTAAAACATTGTTTTAACAATTTATTTAACATTTCTCTGATTCATTAAACTTATTAATCAATATTCTTACACTACAAAATGTTAGGTAATCAGTAGGAATTTTTTTCTCGCGGTTTCAAAAAAATCACCACAAAGTATTACAATTCTAGCGATTATTTTAACCGCTACAAAAAAATTATATTTTCGGGCGTTTAAAACCGCCACAATCTTTAAATACATATTCCAACACACCATGTCACACGTGGCCAACTTAATTGAAATATTTTTTATTATTTTTTAAAAGAATAAAAATAAAAAATTTATTCTTAGGCACGCACGCTTCTCTTTCTCTCAAACTTATTTCAAAATTCTTCTCCAAATTCTTCACTGTTGAGTGTGAGTGTGGGTGTTGCACGTTTGAGCTTGGGTAGATTCATCGGTAGAGAGGGGCATAGCAGTTTTCCATGATGGTGATGATAGAGCTTGTTTAAGAGATGTAGGTTCAGCATTAGTATGTAAAAGTGTGGGATGCAATTTAGGTCTAACAATTCCAGACTTGGATCTAGTTTGCATAGGATGAACATTGGAGGTTGATGGCAATAAAGTATGAGTAGAGAGTGGTGACGAACTAGATAATGAATTTGAAGTAGAAGTGGAGGCAACATCATTAGGGGACAAAACCCCAAGTGGAAAATTAGTGGAACTGTTTGAAACAGATGTAGTAGATGGTATGAGATGTTGATATGGGAAACACTGCTCATTGAAAATAACATCTTTGGAAATAAACAAATGATCATTGGTATCAAGACACTTATATCCCTTATGAGAAGAAGAGTATCCCAGGAAAACACATTTTGTTGACCGAAAATGAAGTTTATTTGTGTTATATGGTGTGAGTAAAGGATAACAAGCACACCCAAACACCTTAAGAAAGGTGTAATCCAGATATTTACTATACAAAACCTGATAGAGAACAGTTATGTTATGAGATAAAGATGGTAATCTGTTAATAAGATATACAGTAGTGTGAAAGGCATGATCCCAATATTTCATAGGCAAGGATGCTTGAGAAAGAAGAGTTAATCCATTTCAACAATATGCCTATGCTTTCTTTCAACACACCATTTTGATGATGTGTGTAAGGACAGATTAATCTATGAGTTATACCCAAAGTGGTTAAAAACTGAGTAAATGGTTGAAATTCACCACCCCAATTAGACTGAACAGATTTGATTTTATGATTAAATTGAAGTTCAACCATGGCTTGAAACTGTTTGAATATAGTAAGAGCCTCAGATTTATTTTTAAGAAAATAAATCCATGTAAAACGACTGTAAGCATCCACAAAAGACATATAGTAATGATATCCCATATACGAAAGCATAGGTGTTGGTCCCTATAGATCACAAAACAACAATTCCAAAGGAGTGGAATAAACAGTAGTAGAAGGAGAAGAAGGAAGCCTATGAGATTTGCCCATACAACAAGCTACACAAAATTGAACCTCATTTTTATTAGAGACAGGGATTTTACAAAATTTTAGTACATTTTGTAAAACAAAAGAACAAGGATGACCAATCCTATTGTGCCACAAGGGCAATGTAGTTGGAATAGGTGATTGTACAGTGTCTGAGCAAACTCTAGAAGTACATGTAATGGATAAAGTAGTAGAACTTGAAGGCTTGATTGATGATGGTAGATGTTGTGGTTGATAGCAGCTAAAAGACAAATGAAGGAAGGAATAGAGGCCATCAACAATGAGATGACCTTTAAGCATAACAGAGTGATCAACCTAAGATTTAACAAGACAATGAGTTGAATGAATTCAAAATAAACTGATTATCACGAGCAAATTTGCTAACACTCACTAAGTTCTTAGTGATAGACGGAACATGTAACATATTGTGAAGATGTAAAATAGTGTTTGGAATTTTAGGAGAAGTAAAAGACACCGAACCAACAGATTTTATGGGCAAACCTTTACCATTTCCTAAAAATACATGTTCAGGAGCAGTCAATGGGACCTCCGTAGCAAGATTATTTGGATCAATAGTAACATGATGAGAAGCTCCTCAATTGACAAACCAGTTTTGTGACTGGTGTGGAGGAATTACATTAGTAACAAATGCTTGAGGTGATGAGGCAGGAGCAGAAGAAGTAACATTCTGTTGTGGTCGAACATATTGAAAATGATTCTTCATAAAGCCAACAAGATAAGGCTGATAGGTATAATTCATCTGTTTAGGCATGAAGGTTGATTGTTGAGGCATAAAATTTGGATAACTAGGTGCATAAGCCGGATTAAATATGTGATAAGGAAGCCTCATGACCAAACTTGTAGCAAACTTGACACTGAATATTTCCTCTACCTGAACGTCCACCTCTACCACCTCTGCGACCAAATCTACCACCTCGACTTGCTTGAAATCCATGAGATTATTGAGAACCATCACTTGCAAATTGAGGTGCATTACCGGTTACATTTACCTGAGGTGTAGTATTTGATACTAACACATTCTGTAAAAAAGATGATTCAAGTAATTTGGATTGTGTTAAATTCAAAGTGGAAAAAAAGTCAACAATGTCCTTCTATTTATTAACACGAGATTCTTGAGCTAATATAAAAGAAAGGATTCAACATCATCAAACTCAAACCACTCAAGCTTGTTATTCACTAATGTAACCAAAGATTCATACTCAGTAGGTAAACCATCAAGAAGCGCATCAAGTTTCTCTTGTGGTGAAGTAGTTTCTCCAATTGAAAGAAGAGAATCAGAGATCGATTTGATGCGAGCGAGAACATGTGAAACTGATTGATCACCTTTTTTGATGTTTCAAAGCTCAGAACGTAAATGTTGAGCTTGAGCTTTTAGTCTTTGAATGAAAGTAATGATGAACTTTCTCCCAAAGTTTCCATGAATATCGACATCCAATAACTTTCGGTAGAATCGACGACGAAAGCGAAGATTGAAGCCATGCAAGAAAAAGTTGATCTTGCAACTCCTAGGCTACGAATGCAGCATTCTCATTATCAGCAAGACGATCCTCTTCAGTAAGATAGCGAATCGGAATTTATGGTGATGCGCAAAAATGATGCAATCTATGTGCGCGAAGAACAAGTTCAATTTGTTGAAGCCAGACAAGATAATTTTCATCTGATAATTTCTCTGTAATCGGAAATGAAAAAGAAGCAAAGTGCGATGAAAGAGATGCGGAAGAGTTAGGTTTTGGATCGAAATCCATGTGAGACTTCAGGAAGCTCTAGATACCATGTGAAAGTTTCAGAAAGAGAGAAAAGTAAAATGAATTCAGTTCTGTTATTATTTTCTATCTCTCTCTAAAAATGACAGAGAGTGAATTATATAGACATACAAAGCTTACAAAGGAAGCCACACTCGTAACTAATATGCTGACGTGACAAAGCCACTCAACTTACAACAGAATACAAAATATACAAATAAAGCAATGCTACCTAATACTCTATTAGGTGAAATAAAATCTAACTAATAACTACATACTTAAAAAAATTGAGGAACCCCTCACTGATTAGTTACTTTTGTATTAATTGCAATATAATTTTTTACTTAAATGTGAATTTGAATTCATGTTATTTTTATCATTTTTACTTAAACATGTTCATGTATGTGGAACTTAAAACATTCACCAATTCTTCTGGCTTTCACGTTATTCTTTACTAGAATCAACGTTATTTACTGCTTTAAAGGAATAATTCAAGTTGTCCTCACTGTGTGGTGTGATTTGTACTGCAAAGTGCAAAACCACTTTCATTTTATACAGTAGTAGTTTTCATGGAATGTGTTATAATAGATATTATATTTTTATGGTGTCTTTCAATTAATTAATTAATTAATTATATATATATATAACTGTTGACATGACTTTTGAGTTATTAGTTTTATTTGATTGATACGTGTAGTTTGTGTAGGGTTGTGTATGTGGGGGCTGTGGGCTAATACATTTTTTGATTTTTTTTTGACCCATTAGCTTGTTTATTGACAATTTGTTAGAATAGTCCATCTTTTACAAGT